AATTTGTTTAACTCTTGGCTAACTCTTGTATAACAAGAAACAATCGGCTTTAATGACAGAGATAGGATTTCAAATTTATCCATAGATGATCCTCGAAATTAGGTGGCAGTAGTAGTAGTAGTAGTATAATGTAACAAAATTATCAAGAAAACTCGTTTGATAGTATAATACAGCAGCGGAATAAACCTACAAATATTATTGTGTAAAAGTAGTAAACATTTAAATTAGAAAGCAATTCAACATGGATTGAATTTATTTATCAAAGACAAGGTCTGTCGACAAGGTCGTAGTCGAATTTTCCCACAATGATATGAGTAGAACTGACGTTTGCATTGAATTTCACATTGCCTTGCCTTCCAAAAAGTTGTTCTCATCCAGACAGAAGTGAACTCCAGTTTCGACCTCGCATCAGTCTTATCAAAACCCCCAGCGGGAGTCGAACCGTGACAGTGCAGAATGGGAGTTCGACACGTTAAAACCGCTGGAGATGTTGATAAGATCGAGGCAAGGTTGAAAATGCAGTCCACTTCTTTCTGGATGAGAACAACTTTTGGGAAAGCAAGGCAATGTGGAATTTAATGGAAACGTCAGCTCTACCCATATCATTGTGGGAAAATTCTTCTACCAGTCCTTCATCACCTTAAACGACACAGGGTTAATACATCTCATATTATATTTCTTTCATCATATCTCTCACAGCGATGCAAATGTAATCGGATTCAAGGTATCTTGTATCCACTGGTATCACTTTGACTATATTAACAAAACTTCAAATTATGTAAATAACATGATACTGCAAGGTCAGTTCTTCTCAACACGCAGTAATGTTAGCAAAGAATTTAAATAGGGCACTGTCACGTTAAACCCGATAGTTCTTCGGATATTGCGGAAGATCCCAACAATATATTCAAGGACTTCTTATATAAAAACCTAAGTTTATAACAATAGTATATTAACTTTTAGCCTTTACCTGGTTTTGCCTGTCGAAGCGGGTCCAAAGATAACAATTGCTTTCCAAAACTGAAGACATGTATAAAGCTGTAGCATTTTGGCGCACATTACTTCAGGGGAAGCAATACACACGGCTTCTGTTAGACTGGCCCGAAGAGCTTGCATAAGAAGCGGATCTGTAAAAACTCTATTGAACGCATTATTTGGTAAAGTGACTAACGTCGAGGAGCTACTCAAGAGTGAACAGTCAGTAAGCTTGTTGCTAGTAGAAGTAGCGGCAGGGGCTTCACTGCTATTGTCAGTTCCGTTCCATGAGCCAAAGAGTTTAAGACTAGGCTTAAAACTAGTCTCGTCGTTAGACGATAAATTGGAATAATCAGGTGCGGTGGCAGAGAAAGGATCATTTGGAATCTGTTGTTTACGTTGAGAGGATGGAGTTGTGAAAGGAACTATCGGGCTCGGAAATTGTGATGAAACGATATCCAAGAAGCAAGGTTGCTCCTCAGGCAAAAGCTGATTATAATCAATTGGCGTGCATAAATGCATTATTAGGGAGAAATTAGACAAATCTTTGTAAAGTGAATAAATAAAATTAATAAATATAAGAATTAAGAACATATTTTTGTTAGCCAAGTTATTTAGAAGAATGTCGTGATATTTATCTGCGTTTGGCATGCTAAAACCTATTCACCATATAGTGGACTGAGGTAAATATGATATATAATTTTATATTTATGGACAAGGCTAATCACCTTGGGAAGAATTACTGTGGCCAGTGCTTGTAATGAAATAGAGACCTCATCCTGGTAGTTGGATACAAAATTTGTATTCGCTTGGTTGGATGGCCGTCCATTTGATAATTCAGAATGTGAGGCGAGATCATCTATGGGAAACTCAAAGGATTCTGAAGAATATTTCGATTCTCTTTCATATAAATCATGGAGCTGTTCCCGTTCTTCTGCGCCAAAATTGCCCGAAGCGACTTGGAGCTTCTTTATAGAGTACCGATTGTTTAACATTCGAAGCCAAAGCCGGCGTGTTATAGCAATGATCATTTTAATCGTGATTAGATCATAGTTGTGTCGGGGCTGGTAAGAGAACTGCGGAGCATGTAAGGAAAGTACAAGCACGAATAAGTAAGAAAAAATGGTGGTTGGCGTGACCATCATAAGGGTTACAAAAGCAATTTATAGCTAAAGAAGACTGCCATCAATCAAAACGCCACGCCTTCATGCTCTTCATCTTTATGGTATAATTAACGTTAACGCTATGCCGTTGTACAAGCCAGTTCAAATGGTATCTTTGATTTTATCTAGGGCATCGAAAAAAATATTGTTGAACAAAAGCTGCAGTCTAACGGGATCTCAACTAAGATTTAGCCAAAATAAAGTTTATTACAAAATCTGGGTTTGATTGATAAAACGGGAAATCTTAGATATGTAAATGTTAGCTATCCAATATTAGAAGGAGTCCATCATATATGAAAAAGTAAATCGTTTTTAAAGTTAAGAACGAGCTCTTAATTTAATATAGACCGAATTTTCATGATAAAAATATATGAAGTCTTCTCTCTCGATTTTTTCTCATCATTCTCTAGCCATCATGGGAATGCTCTCATTATGATCGTCACACTTTAGTTGTGATTAAAAATTTATTTTGATAAGAGAGAATGCATGCTTGCTTACCATATCTCAAGATATCTTTGAAATAATAAGTAAAGTAGGAGTTTGAGAATTGAGAATCTTTTGAGGAGCCTAAACTCCGAACAATTATGCGCCAAGTTTGCAAAACAAAGTTTCCTGTCTATATATATTTCACGCAATATTGCACCGAAAAAGGATAGCAAACTTGTGGGAACTGGATTGTTCAAGAGAGTAATAATAAAAAATAGAGGAAATTATACTTATTTTATGCAATTAGCTAGAAACTTACGGGCTAGTTAAACCTAACCAAAAAAATTGAATGATCACTTGATTTCTCTTCTATAAAAAATTTCACACAGGTACCTTGCGTTACAGACCTTATGTCCAAATATCTCATTAATAAAAAGCTAGCGCGCAAGAACGCTTCCCTATTGTGGATCTTTTTAGGATACTTTAGGCAGATCCACATAATTATCAGCTCTAGCCAAAGAGATTCGAATAATATATCCTATAAACTACAATAAGACAAAAAACAGACCCGAGCTTTGTAGAGTTGTAGAACATGGATAATTTTGACTGCCAATTCGCTTGAGTTTAAGAAGCCAAGAGCCGATAACGAGGTTTTAAGAATTAATTGGATGTCAGCAAGTGCAAATGAGACAGAGCGAAAGAGAGCCTGAAAGAGATCAAAACAGAAAATTCCATTTTTTTAGACCAATTATACTCAGATATAAGACACTATTAAAACAGGCAGCATATATTTACGATTTATTGCTCAGGTTTCGGCACAAAATAAGCGTATTACAGCTTTATTTGTTTCGGTGCAATTGTCAGTTTAAACTTTTAAAAAGCCTACCTCTCAAAAGTGAGGTTGATTTAATTTTTCATTGGTAGATATGTCTCAAATAAGATATCAGTTCCACTTAAATCGAATTAATAATTAATTCAAAATATAGAAAATATATCTCATTTTATCTGAGGAAATTCTATTTATTAAATGGATAATGAAAAATAATAGAACTTGAGGACTATTCATTAGTGCCCAGTGAGGAAAGACAAAAAGGGTATGGATTCCTGCTAATTAGCAATTATGCGAAAGCAACAATGCCTAGCAATTAATACAAAATGTAATGCATGAGAATAATGCGATCAAATGATGGTGATTAAAATTGATAGTATAATATAAGGTTGGGCGATAAATGCTACTCGCTTCACTGTTCGATTAATTTACTACTTAGTCTCTCGATGTAATGTTAGGCATACCAATTAGTGAAAGTATCATTTCAATAATTTAGAAAATGTTTGTGATAAGCTATGTTGACTTCCCATGAATTATCAGGGCAAAACGAAGAAAATGATAAAATATCTGGGATTTTTACAAAATGTATTTCGGCGCTAACATTATTGAGGGTAGAAATGCTGCTAACCTACGATTAATCAGAGAGAAGTTTACCATGAGAGTAAATAGCGTAAAAATGCGGAAAATTAAAATCAATTTTTAAGTATAATCAGATTGATGGTTTGTGCCTAAGACACCCTGAACGATGAAGAATGCATATTAAGGCACACAAATCGTCCAAAATACTCTCTTGATGACAACTTAAAGTTTATATTCAAACAAAAGTCAAGTGTATAAGCTGTTTTGCCCTGTCTTCGTAACTTAATCATATTGACAAGAAGACCTAAAGGAACACACCTTATCCAGATGGGCCCTTTTTAGCGGATTTCGTGAGGCCTATC